GAGACAACCAGAAGGGGGAGAAAGATGGAAGGAAGAGGGAAGAAGGGATGAAAGGGAATTAAAAAGGAGGGAAAGGAAGGAAAATAGGAAAGGTAGGAAAGAAAGAAGGAAAGAGGAGGCAAGGAAAGGAAGGGAAGGAATGCAGAGGAAATGGGAGGACAGAAGGGAGGGAAGGAACAAAGGAGAAAGGATGGGAAAAAAAAGAAGAGAAAGGAAAAGGCAGGAAAGATGGAAGAAAGGAAAGGAGAGGAAATGCAGGAAAAAGAGGAGAAAATGAGATGAATGAAGGAGGGATGGGTAAGGAAGGGAAAGCAGGAAAGAAATCAGAGAAAAGAGGTGAGGAAAGGGGAAAAGAAATAAAGGGAAGCAGGAGAAAAGGAAAGAAGGAAAAAAGGGAAAAGAAAATGGAATAAAGGACTAAATGTCAGGAAAGACGAGGAAAACAGGAAGGGAAGGCATGCAGGAGGGAAGGAAAAGGCAAGGTAGGAAAGAAGGGAAGCAGGCAGGAATGGGTAAGAGTGAGACAGGAGGGAAGGGGAAAAAAAATTTTGCAGGGAAGAAGGAAGAGAAGTCAGGAGGAAAGGAAAGGCAGAGGAAAAAGGCAGGAGATAGGAGAGGAAAAGTCAGGAGGGAAGAAGTGGAAGGAAGAGATATGAGAGAGAAAGAAGGAAGAGAAGAAAAAGAAGGATGGAAAAAAGGATGAAAGTCTGAAGGAAAGGAGAGGAAAGAAGGAAAAGAAAGGTGGGGGAAGGATGATAAAAATAGGAAGAAATATACTGAAAGAATAAAAGCAAGCAAAGAAAGCGAGGAAAAAAGGAGGGGCAAGACGAAGGAAAAGGAAAGTTGGGGAGGAAGACACTAGGAAAGAGAAGGAAAGGCATGAGAAGAAAGGAAGAGTTAAAGGCAGGAAAAAAGAAAAAAGGAAAGGTGGGGAAGAAAAAAAAGGCAGGAGAAAGAAGGAAAAGGAAATGTAGGAACAAAGGAAGGAAAAAGGAGGGAAAGGGAAGGAAAAGCAAGTGAGAAGAGGGAAGGAAGAAGGAAGAGGAGGGAGGGAAGGGAGAGCAGAGCACCAGTGACCCACTGTGCTGCCACTGCAGGAGAGCAAGGGCTACGACTTTGAGTCGGAGACGGACACGGAGAGCATCGCCAAGCTGGTCAAGTACATGTACGACAACCGGGAGAGCGACGACATCAGCTTCACCACGCTGGTGGAGAGGGTCATCCAGCAACTGGTAACGCTGGGAGCAGGGCCTGGGCGGGGCCGCGGGGACACGCACACCCCCAGCACCACACCCCTGCCCCGGCGGGGCCACTGCGGTGCCATGTGCTGAGGGGCTGGGGCTGCCTGTCCTTCCCCTGGCACTGCACCGTTCATTTTCTCACCAGGATGGGCTAGTGTTAAAGAAATGGCAAAATGTTGGGGTGCAGGAGTATGTGGAGGCAGTCAGTCCCTGGTGTGTCAGATGGGAGTTGGCGTGGGGCAGTGAAAACCAGCCTGTGCTGCAAGTGTTTCCCAAAAGCTGTGTGAGAGAGGTGCTGACCCCCTGTGGGAGCTGCACGCACAGCCGGAGCCTCTGCGGTCGGGTCTGTGAGCTGGGCACAGGAGAGGATCTGGCTGACATTTCCCTTCTCTGGGAGATGGTTTATCAGAGGTTCACCTGGCAGGACCTGCAGTAGCAGCAGACCAAGGACATGTTTTGCTGGCAGATTGTGGGGGCACCACACCCAAGCAAACACCACGAGGTGTTGGTGCTTCTTTTACCAGATCATTGCCTTGTAAGTCCCCACTGTGCTCTGAGCTAACAGAGGAGCACTGGCATGGGTACAGTGATGACCAAGTGCAGCATCCATCTGGGCTCTCAGAATCCTCATTAAGTGGTTGAGGATGGGCCACCCAGGCTCAGGGGAGGGATGTCCTTCCAGGGTGAGATGCCTGGAGCTTCTGGCAGCTTTGAAGACAGCTGTGAACCCTTCTGTCTGGTGTCTCTGTCCCAGCTTCTGTGCTGGGAACCCTGAAATGGTGGCCTGGGCCTGGAATGAAGGGATAAACAGTTTGTATTTCTCGTTCCAGGAAGGTGCTTTTGCCCTCGTGTTCAAAAGTGTTCATTATCCTGGCCAGGCTGTTGGTACCAGGTGAGTATTGCTGGGGGAAGGGTTATCCTTGGTGTGCCCTGGGTGTCGCTTGGTTTTGTGCCCCTAAGTTAGGAGACAATAGTGTAGAGGTTGTTCTCATCACACTGCATGTGCTGGGTGGGGGTGGCTGTTGTTTTTAATTTCCTTTCTCTTGTTTTCCATTTATCATAACAGAAAATATTTTTAAAATTTCCTGGTGACTGCCTGCAATAGCTGGTCTGGAACAGCTTTCTCTTGTAGCCTCTGGTTGTGAGAGCTTTGGAAGGAGATGGGTTTGTCTTTTCCTTTGTGTTTGCCATTGTGGCAGCATTTGGCTGGGTCCTCCATTTGAGCTGACATTGGGCCAGCCTTGTGTTCAGGTTTCTGCTCCACTTCTAAACGTCAGTATCCATTGTGCTGCTTGAGCCATAACGTGCCCACCACAGGTTGGGAGTTCTGGCACTGGTGGCTGTTGGTGGGTGCTCAGGGTGAGCAGCAGCTGCCGTGTCCCTGGCCGGGTGTCTGTGGGACTGCAGCTCCTCTTGCAGAGTTTTGGCAAAACTTGAGGCAGATTCTTCATGTCCTCGTGTTGTATTTGCTCAGATTCTTTCACTATCCTTCTGGCCTCCTCCCATGCTTGCAGCAGCAGAACTCAGCGGGGAGGAGCTCGCTCTGGCTTAGCTGTGTTCAGTCTCTGTGCTGGACTGGGACACTCCTCTCAGGCTGCTGTCGGGAGCGAGTTTTGGGGTGCTGGGGGCTGTAATGGGATGTCTCTTGCAGACGGGGCAGCCCCCTGCTCATCGGAGTGCGGAGCGAGCACAAGCTCTCCACCGACCACATCCCCATCCTCTACCGGACGGGTGAGTGCCAGCACCTCAGGGGCCACTCACCCAGCACCCCGGGGTCACAGGCAGCTGCGTGCCATGGAATGCCTGTTACACCTTTAAAGCTTCACCTGTAAATTAAATCTGTCTATAAAAAAGAGATTTTGTTTTAAGTAGGTTTTTAACTACATGCTGCACCACCGTCTACCTCAAGTTAGTCTCTAGCTTTATAACCAAAGCTTTAATGTCCAGTGGTGGCAAAGATCTTAATGCACTAGAGTAGAATAAAACAGAATGGTTGAGTATAGTGAAGTTAGCAGGATAGGTAAACTTAGATATTGAAGTTTATATTTTGTGTGGCTTGTTGGCATTCACGGTCTCGTTCTTTCCAAGAACAAACCCGACTGTGCTGCAGTCTCCAGGCTGCCCATTGTCACAGACCTTCCTCCCTCCTGCCAGCATCATTTACCCTCTGTGTGAGTCCATGGTTAAGCTCTCTGTCCATCTCACACGTGTTACCACCATGGACATTTAGCTGGACTGTTGAAAATTAAAAAAGGCTCTCACTGCAGCCATCTGGAGCCACTGCCACAGCCCAGGGAACTCTGTCTGTGTTTGCTCTTGGCTGATGTTCAGTAATTAGCAGTAATCCTTAATGTATGTATGTGACATTTGTTTTTTTTTTCTTTTCACTGATCATCTGAAGTTTGTTTTTGTTTTTTTTTCCAATTACACTTTCAGCTGTACAATCTATGGATCATTCTTTTGATGGAATATCCATAAAAATGGAGGAAGGTGCCCACAGAGAAAATCTGATACTTGACATTTCAGACAAATCCTCCAGTTCCTTAGGAAAGGAATCATAAATAAGACAAATGTGCATTGTCTCTTTAATATGTGGTTATTGCTTTCTGTGTGATGTAATGAAACAAGTGGGATAATCAGAATTCCTTCTTGGTCAGAAACACCCTGAGCAACATTCAGGGAGATCTGCCCATCCCCTGGGTGCAGAATGGATTAGTGCAGGTTGTGCCCTGTGCTCCTTGCAGCTCTGATTACAGAAGGAAGCCACAAAACAATCGAGGGAAACCCTGTTAGGAAGCTGCTCATAATCCCAGTGCAGCGTTCTCCAAAATTCCTTCTGGAGTTCAGAGTGTCACAGAGCCACGTCCTCGCTCCTGGCTGTAGTTTGAATCTGGATTGCAGCTTCTGGTAGAAGCAGTAAGGTTGGCATGAGGCTGGAACTTGATTTCCTTTGCTCTTTATCAGGGTGAGCCATTTTTAATTCACATTAAGTACCTACTTTCTTTAAAGGCTGACCCATATGTGATGGGATGAGCTAAGTTCACATCTGAAGCACTTTTCTGATTCTTAGCTCCTGTAAATAAATGTGATTCCCCTCTCAGCAGCCCACAGCAATGGGCACCAACAGCTCAGGGTGAGATCCAGGCTCCTTTGCCAGGGCAGAAACAAACCTGCTGAAGGTGATCTAGGTTTGTTCTGTTGGGAGCTGATTTACCTGAAGCCAAACTTTGGGTGAGGTTTAGTTTCTTTTTGCCAAATGTCTCTCTCTTGAGTCAGTGTAAAGTATGTAGAGTCAAATTCAGAAGTCAGGTTACCTTCATTCCCAGGGGCTTTAGGAAACAAAGTCCCTCAGCTTTCAGAGGCACTAAGGCTTTTCTGAAACACTGACAGCATGTCATCCCTCCCCACACACACATTTGGCACTATACCTGTGTTAATTCTCCAGTCCTATTTTAGAAGGGAGGAGATTAAAAAATTACTTCTGTGTTGCTTCTAAATTCTTGTAGGTGGGAGGCAGGTCCATGTTATCTACAGATAAATGAACAGTCTGGGGACAAATCCATAGATCACATAACCATAACTGGCTGATAATACTCCTTGTAATTCTTCAGCCCCTCCTTGGTAAGATGCACACAGAGTGTGTGTGCACGTGCACAGTGAGCACAGTCCAGCTCAGTGTGGAGTCTGTAACCAGGAATGCAATGCCACATAATAAAGTCAATGCAGGGACATGTTCTATTTTGAGATCCAAAATTTGCATGTTTTGATCAAATATGGGTGCTTCTGTTGGAGAATGGCCACTAACACCTCTGCTCTGTCCTTTCTCAATAACCAATCAGTCTGTCCTGTCTCAGCTCAACCTCAAAGGAGTTGTTCTCTTCATTTACTGACTTAATAACTGGAGGGCTCTAAATTGTTGGCTGAGTGGAACATTCTTATTGAGTATCAACATGAAAGCAGTATTTTTTCCTTTACAGAACTGTAAGTTTAAACATCATGAGCTCCACTTATGTCACTGAATCAGATCAGTATCCAGCAAGTGTAACAACATTAGAGCTTGTGGAATAATTGTCTAACAGAGTAACTTCAGTGTTATTCTTCAGCAGTAGTCACGTTTTGCTGGAGAAGCTGATGAACCCACCCCCAGCCTTTACCCTTTGCCTGGCAGACCCATTGGAGGCCTGTGCTGAGCAGGAGGTGTTCTGGTCCTCTCTGCATTCCTGATGAGTTTCGTGACTGAAGCATTTTCTGCAGTTAAAGAAGAGGCAGAGGATTAGAGAGTGTTGGGAATGGGCAGAGGACTCTGCTGAAACACAGAACCTTTTTAGGGGCTTCATGCCAGTGTTTGAGAAGCTGACTCTCAGCCCCGTGCCCTCCAGCAGACCTGGCTGCTTCCCTGACAGTCGCCAAGACTTGCAGCAGTTAGCCAGCTCTGCAGTTTTGGGGTTGGGATGAGGAGTTGTATTTGATAGCTCAGGAACAGGGTCGAGTACTTGGTCATGGATTCCTGATCTGTGCCCGAGCGTGTGAGCTCAGCCAGAGGAGCCTGGTTTGGGGTTACAGCTGCTGGGGCTCAGTGGACAGTGTGGTTGCCAGCACTGAGAATAATTGACAAAGAGTGAGCAA